GCTCTTTAGAAGGCCGGATCTCACCGGCTCAAGGTTGACTCAGCCTTCCATCCTTCCGAGGTGGGTAAAATGAGGACCCGGATTGTTGTTGGGGGCAATATGCTGACTCTGTAAACCGCTTAGAGAGGGCTGAAAGCCCTATGAAGCGGTATTTAAGTCTAACTGCTAGTGCTATTGTATGCCAGTCATTCATTAGAGGCAGTAGCAATCATATGCCAAGCAAAGTGGTAAGTGATAGACCCTCACCCACTCACCCAGCTTGTTCTTAATCTCTTATGACTGGTTGCAGTACCTTGCGGTCATGTGGCTATGATTTGTGACTTTTTAACTATTTTCCAACAGGAAATGGCAATCCACCCCACCCCACCTATTGCATATATGCTTAATGACCACATGGTTTGCTTAATGATGTGATTCACTTAATGGTTATCATAAAAACAGTCAGAAAATCGAGTCAACCCACAACAGTGATTCACTTAACAACCATTAGGATTTAGGATCAAAATTCTGGGCTTTATTGTGGTTGTAAGTCAAGGGCAACCTGTATTTGGAAGATTAAAAAATGTCAGTATCTCAGACCTTCTAGGAAGAACTGCCTTGAGTTACTCGTAACAATAATTTTGCAAGGAATGACTACCAGGCAAAAATGGAGAAAAACAAAGATGTTGATTATTACTAAAGTGTATATACCAGGGGTGCTATTCAGCCAGTTCTGCTAGATTCTGGAGAACCGGTAGTGGAAATATTGAGTAGTTTGGAGAACTGGCAAATAGGCTGGCCCCGCCCTGCTGCCTCCCAGCCGATCTTCTTTTGTTTTCCTGAACAGGAAAACGGAGCTGGAAAGCAGGTTAGTGGGGTGGGGAAGGAATGGGGATTTTGCATTATCCTTCCCCTGCCATGCCCACAAAGCCACACCACACCACACCCACAAAGCCACGCCCACAGAACCAATAGTAAAAAAATTGAATCCCACCACTGGTATATACTATACTAGAAATGTACATTATAACCCAAATAATAAAGGTAAGTTAGAACAATAGTTTCTTTGCCCCTTGGAAGGTCATAAATTCAATCCCTGGCACCCTGAATTGATAGGCCAGATAGGAATAAGAAAGACCAGTGTTGCTGGTCAGCAGAGACAAGGCTGGGTTAGATGGACAAAGGGCTTGATATGGTATAAAAAAGGTTTCCTATGGAGCTAAAGTGGTATTAATGAGGCCATAAGGAGATTCATTTGTCCTTCTACAAGGGCAATTTCTGGCCCAGTGGTTGGTAGACTGGAAACTGCAGCTGGAATAATTGAATCCTGGAAGTCCTCCAACTGATCCAGTACAAGGCAGCACTAACTAATGGGGTGCATAGGACTGGCTTTTTAGGGAGACTCGGATAGCCATACAGCAGGAGCAGCAGGCTATTATATTATCTGCTCTGACCTTTGCAAGTTACTGCAAGGCACAGCAGCCATTTTACACTTAGCTTTCTTTCTATCACTAGCAGCGACAACAGCAGTGATACTTTCACAAATTAAGTGTGGAAGATGCCGCAGTAAGAACTTTTCCCATTATCAGAAACAAGATGGAACAGCTAATGAAGCTCAGTTTTAAACAGATTTCTCTTCCAAAGAGTTAAGAGACAAAATTCTCGCAAATTTTGTCCTGTTACGTACATTTCCATTCCTATATGAGTGTGTGTGGGGGTGGGTGGGTTTGCACCTGTGTTAGATTTTGGATTCTCTAAAAGGGAACAATCTTGGTGAAATAGTGAAAGTAGGTTTTAATTTCCCAGCATAATTGCAGCAGTGAAGCAATTCCTTTATTTATATTTAGCATTTTTTATTTTAAAAAATGGAATCTTTTTACCAATTGTGAGAACTTTTATTTAGCTTTATTTATTTTATTTAGCTAAGTAACAAATATGATTACTTTCAAAGGTAAATCATCATATGGGTTCATTTAGGGTTAAACATATGCATTATATTTAATGCACAACTTGAAGCTTCACATCATTTTAAAAGTATAATTAAAGATAAAGGAGATATAGGTTTTCTATACTATTACAGTATGATGGGAGGAGATACACACTCTTGGGAGTGTTAGTAAAAACACTAAAGCTGATAATGTCAAATTGGACTACTTTCCCCCTATCACCCAAATAAATCTGATGAATATGGTCCCTATTCTTGTTTGATGCCACAACGGTTCACCTTTGGTATGCATGGAACAACTTCTTGGTCCATAATTACAGTCCTTCAGGAGAACTAACCATCAACTGGCTGTTACACAGACAAATAAAGAGGCTGAATATTTTTCTACTGTCAGTTGTTCTCCATTTCTTCCATTCCTGGAAGGATGAAATTAAATGTGGGAGATAAACTAGCATGCCATGCACTGAGCATAATATGCAGCTTGATTCTAGATCTGCGGAATGACTGGAGATGCAGTTTAACTTTTATAGCTCATGTAGCATTATCATAAATAAAACTGCACAGTATAACTACAGTGGTGCATTTTAAATTAGAGGAAGGAATGCAGTGAAGGCCTCGAGGAGCAACGCTGAAAATGATCTAGAGGTTTATTTTACAATATGGTTTCTGTGTGGAAAACAGAACATTCAACAGAGCTTTGAATGACAGAGTCATTTTAGGCACTCTGCAAGATGGAGCTGTACACAAAAATGACAAAGAGTACTGAGAGGTGTGTGGTAAGTAGATTGTCCAGTCATGTGTAAAAACTGCTCAGGAAATGCAGCACAATACCAATTGGTCTCTTCCTTACCTGCAGAAGCCTTGGTTGTCATACACCACATTACTACCATCATCAGATTCTGCCTGGATTTTAATATTTTTGTTGTTGTTGTTGTTATTCCTGCCTTTCAAACCAAAGTAAGCTGTTTGCATGTTTTCTAGCTCTTCACTTCTCAGCTGGTACCAGAACTGCATATCCCTGTTAAAAAGAGGCACTGTTATCATCCGTAGAAGATCACAGCAGATGTGTACTGTGCAAATGTGACTAATGTCAAACATCTGCAATAGCAGATCACATCAAGTCTCCGTCAGGACTGTCATCCTACTACACCAGCCATACTTTGCCAGATGCCAGTCCGCCATAAGCAATGAGGGGAGGGACACGCAGGGAGGTAAAAGGGGAGGTTGGGATGAAGGGAATCAGAACTATTCTTCATGTGGTCCAATGGGAGTCACTACCCATTCCAAGGTCATGGAAAAGTGAGATCATCCATCCCGCCAAGCCAGGGACAGTTGCCAAAACAATTTGTTTGAATGTAATTGGATAGTTTAAGATAACCAATGGGGTGGGGGTGGGGATGAAGGAAGAGTTAACCAAATGCTTTGAGCATGTAATTTCAGATCCGGCTTTGCTACTCTGTAACCACTTGGCTTTAGTAAAGTGTATTTTCTTTAACAATGGATTCGAGAGTCTTTCTTTTCTAACTGACCAGGTTGAGACAGCTGACAATCTCTGAAATTCACATGCCTATCATGAATCCCTCCGCCATTATCGTCTCTCTTTTATACTATGTTGGCCTTATGCAATATAACTTAAATTAGCTAAAATTGTGATGGCAATACTGGCAATGCTTTTCTCCCATTTAGTGGAAGGGTCCCTTTTCATCTTTATTGCAAATGCAAAATTGTGCCTGTTGCTCCTGATTCCATCTTTCTATAAAATCATCTGAAATTCTGAATAATGACAGTACAATATGTGTGAATTATATATATATATATATA